TGTATAAAGAAAAAAAAAAAAAATTAGTACATATATAAAAAAAAATATATATATGTAGCAAGTATAAACAGATAAATCTTGTCTAAAGTAGAGATATTATAATTTAAATTCTAATATGAAGGTTCTAAGTCTTAACAAAAAATAGAAATATCAAAATATAATTGCAAAAAAAAAAAAAAAATTAGCATAAGTATAAGCTTATCTAAAGTATCTTTGTTATCTAGTTGCTAGTATGAAAGTTCCAGGCTTTTATCTACAATATTAAAATATTAGTAAAAATTAGTAAAAAAAAAAAAAATATATATATATATATAAAATATAAATTTACTTAAGGTATTATTATCGTTATTTAGTCTTCAGTTCAAAGATTTTAAACTTTTATCTTAAATATAAATATGAATTAATACAGAAAAAAAAATAATCTAATTGTATTATGAACTTACTTAAAAAACTACTACTATTATTCAGTTGCTATTGACTTGAACTTATTTTTATTTTTTTTATTTTTAAGGTAGCTTACATTGCCAGACGATTTTTATTAATTTGATATATGAGGTCCTACATGGAGTTCCCCTACAGTTTTCAGTTACATGAAGAGTATATAACAAGCCACACGTACAACTTTAGTCATTGTCTAATTTAAGTAGTTTGCTATACAGGCATTAGACTACCTGTTAGTACTACACTATACTGCTATACCTGCAACCCGCCTGTGAGTTATCTATTTAAACACTCTGTTCAACTAACCTATTCTCGTTATAAACTAATGTCACTATAACACCTAACTGCATATGCTAGCTAGCTCATTACAGATCTATTTCTTGATACTAGCTTAGGTTCTCTCAGGATATATATTGCTTATCATATTGTGAGTATGCAGAGCTCTAGTTAACCTTGAAGCAAACCTACTAGAGTAGCCTGTGCTCATTTCATGAACTCACCTAGCTTAGACCCTTGTAGATGTTCGTACAATCCCAGTTTCTTCCATAGCTCTCTACTAGTTTTCTGTGTCTATCTTCTTGGATATTTTATGAGGCAGATCCTCCCAATTCAGTTAGCTGCCAAGCCAGGTTGGTGTTACTGATTCTTCCCATAAAACGAATTTATGTGCACCTGACTTGATCTGCATCTTTTGATGATAGTTTCCTTTCTAGATTAAGCATTAGCCAGTATGACTGTTGAAAGCTGTACTACTTCACCAACTCAGAATTTCTATCATGCAGGTCCCCTGTCTATAGATCAGTATACGTATATCATCCTGTAATTAATTACCAAAATACTAATGTTTTTCCTATCAAGATTTATTTGTGTAATATATATCATCCTGTGATTAACTGCGTCATACTACCAATATCCGATTGACTTAGTGCAACTTAACTTACAGGGTTACAACCCTAGAAACGAACAGAGTTTGCTATAAGTAGAATATAAGGTCTGAGAAATTATTCAAATTCATCAACAGTAAGATTTGAACTCCAGACCTATTGCATAGTGATCTGGCAACCTAACTACTACACTAAGATCACCAGACCTCATATTTTTAAATTATTGTATTTTTATATTATTATATATATTTAGATTTAGTTATTATTATTTTTTTTAATAACTTATTAGCTAAAGTTAGTTTTAGATTTTACTATTAGATTCAGCTCGATTAGATCTTTCAAATAAGCTATATTGTCTGGCAATTTTAATGTAGTGGTTAGGTTGCCAGACCACTATATAAGAGGTCTGGAGTTCAAATCCCACTGTCGATGAATTTGAATAATTACTCAGACCTTTGTATCCAACTTACAGTAAACCCTGTTCATTTCTGAGGTTGTAACCCTGTAAATCACATTGCAACAATATCATCTGGATATTGGAAGTGTAACAAGGCATTTGGCAAAACATAACGTGATACAAATAAATCTTGATAGAATCTACGAGCAGGGGACCTGCATAGTAGAAATCCCGAGTTAGTGAAGTAGTACAGCCTTTGACAATTACACCAGCTAACCTTGATTCAGAAAGGAAACTATCAATGAAAGATGCAGATCGAGTCAAGTGCGTATAAATCTATTTTATAGGGAGGATTAGTAATACTAATCTGGCTTGGCGGCTAACTAGATTTGGAGGATCTACTTCATGAAACATCTGAGAAGATAGATACAAAAAACTAGTGAAGAGCCACAGTAGGAACTAGAGTTGTATGAACATCTACAAGGGTCTAAACTAGGTGAATCCATAAAATAGGTATGGACCACTCTAGTAGGTATGCTTCGAGGTTAACTGCTCTGCGGTATCTACAATATGTTAGGTACAATATAATCCAAGAGGACCTAAGCTGTTCTGAATAAATGGATCTGTAAAGAGCTAGCTGGCTTAAATGGTTAGGTATTGCGGTGACGTTAGATTAGATCTGTATAGGTTAATAAACAGAGTATTTAAATAGGTAACTCACAAGCAGGTTACAGGTATGGCAGCATATATAGAACCAATTGGGTAGTCTAATTGCCTATGCAGCAGACTACTTAAATTAGACAATGACTAAAGTTGTACGTGTGGCTTGTTGTACACTCTTTATATAATTACAAATAGTAGGGATTATCAATATATAATCCTGTTAACAATTCTAATAAAAATTCCTTCAGCAATGTAAGCCGCCTTAATAACAAAAAAAAAAAAATAAGCTATATTTCATATCTGTAGGATATGTAGTTATTGAGTTATCTTAGAAGCAACATTAGGATAAATTACCTTTTTTACCTTTTCTACTTTTATTACCTTTTCTACCTTTTCTTCTTTTATTACTTTTTCTACCTTTTTTACCTTTTCTACTTTTTCTAAAAAGATATATAAACCCTCCTTTTTCTCTTTGCCTCAACTTTGGTTTTGATCTCTGCAATCTCCTTAATATTAGAATTCTCTTAGTACAGAAACTAATAGATAGTCTTGTATTATCGATATTGTATTCTAAATAAAGTATAATCTTTACTCTTTCATTAACTTTGTAATGAACTGCCACAGTGAAGTAACATTCTACTTTGATATCATTAGGAGTCTCTCTTTTATATCTTATGTTACTTAGGGTATATTAAGAAGGCTACACTACTTGTAACAGTACAAAGCCTTCAATTCAGTTAGTCTAAAGATACTAATGAAAGTACTATTAAGGATTAAACTACTAGAGGTAGCAGTAAACAATCTTTACAAAGAAAGAAAAATAAAAGTAATCACAAGTTTTGGCTTAATTAAAGAATTTGAAGCAAAAGATAGTATAGACTAAGAAGAAATCATATCTTCTCTGATATAGTATATTTTTTATGATTCATTACTCTATACAATTCAAAAAGTAAGAGATACAGGATATAAGGTTACAACTAACTAGCTAGAAAACTTAGTTTACAATATGACTAAAGAAATATCTTATCAATAAGCTGTATTAGTATATGCAGACAATACTACTTGAATAGCTAGATTTAAAGAAAAACTACAAAAAATCATTAATGCTACAAACAAATATTTTTTTTTTTTTTGTTATTAAGACAGCTTATATTATCAAAGAAATTTTATTAGAATTGTATATAGAATATCTATTGATAGTCCCTACTATTTGTAATTACATGAAGAGTGTACAATAAGCTACACGTATAACTTTAGTTATTGTCTATTTTAAGTAGTCTGCTGCACAGACAATTTGACTATCTGATTGATTCTACACTATGCTACCATACCTGTAACCTACCTGTAAGTTATCTATTTAAACACTTTGTTTATTAATCTATACAAATCTAACCTAACATCACTGCAACATCTAACTACTTAAGCCAGCTAGCTCATTATAGATCTATTTATTCAGAATGGCTTAGGTCCTCTTAGAATACATTGTACCTAATACATTGTAAATATTGCAGAGCTAGTTAACCTCAAAACATACCTACTAGAGTAGTCCATACTAATTTTATGAATTCACCTAGCTTAGACTCTTGTAGATATTTGTACAACTCTAGTTCCTACTGTAGCTCTTTACTAGTTTTCTGTATTCTATTTTCTCAGATGTTTTATGAGGCAGATCCTCTCAATTCAGTTAGCTGTCAAGCCAAGTTAGTATTACTGATTCTCTTTGTAGAACAGATTTATACATACCTGACTCATCTGCATCTTTTGATCATAGTTTCTTTTTTGAATCAAGCATTAGCTGATGTGACTATTGAAGGCTGTACTACTTAATCAACTTAGAATTTCTACTATACAGATCTCCTGCTCATAGATCCTATCAAGATTTATTAGCTACAAATGAATTTTTTTTTTTTTTTTGTTATTAAGGTAGCTTACATTGCCGAAGAAATTTTATTAGAATTGCATACAGGATATACATTGATAATCCCTACTGTTTGTAATTACATGAAGAGTATACAACAAGCTACACGTACAACTTTAGTCATTATCTAATTTAAGTAGTCCGCTGCACAGACGATTAGACTACCTGATTGGTTCTACACTATGCTGCCATACCTGTAACTCACCTGTGAGTTATCTATTTAAACACTCTGTTTATTAACCCTTACAGATCTAACCTAATATCACTACAACATGTAACTACTTAAGCCAGCTAGCTTCGTATCAGCAGATCTATGTAATTGGGCCATCCAAATATACTCCAAAAATTTTGTACTACAGTAAAATCAGATCATATGATTTGTCAACTACTCAAAATATACCTTCAAAAACATTTCTAAAACGTAAGTAAAACAATATATTATATATAAAACCAATCTTCCAGCTCAAAAACCAATCTTTCACTTATAATACATATAAAAGGTAAAATTACAGTAATTAGAGTTTATTGTTTTAAACAAAATTTCTTATAGATGATAAAATTACAGTAATTAGATTTTATTGTTTTAAGCAAAATTTTTTATAGATTTTTATAACGCTTATTATTTAAAATTTATTATATTAATTATTTTAATCCCAAATAGATCTATACTACTTATTGCCTTCAGCTGACTACAGACATGGTTAATTTTACTTGCACTCTCTGTGAACATAAAACTTTCAAAAATGAACGTGGGCTTAATTGTCATACAATGCGTATACATTTTCCAAAAAATGTGCCATCAATCTCTGCAGCAACAAACATCCGAGTTTTTTGTATGCTATGTCCTTGCAAGTCTTTTAAGAATAAACGAGGGCTTATTCGTCATGAACGTGTAGTGCATAGTTCTTATAATATTCCTCGAGCTGGTGTTGTAACGTTACCTCAAGAGGCTATCGATGAGTTTAAACAAACGTTAGTATATATGATCCAACGGCAATTATCAAATAATAGTAGTTCTGCGGGGTCACAATGTATTACAATTCCTTGTATGGAAAGTCAATTTATTGGAGTTTTTGGCAAGCATATAACACGGCATGCTTTTACTCGGCAAACTTATGAATGTGTTTTTACTGGAAGGAATGCATATGATACTTTATGTCATATCTTAGGTGATAAGAATTGGAGAATTAGGCATTATATTAAAGGGCAACAAACCGCTGTGATTTTAGTTACACCAACCAGTTATGAATCTGAGACAAGGAGTTTAACCGAAGATCAAGACAATTTTGATGGTCAACAACAGCGACAGCGCAAGAACACAATGAAGTTTGAGTTTTCAATCCGGTAGGAGAGAAGAGAAATAAAAGATACAAATGAACATGTATGTCAAGCAGGATTTCTTATAATGCGATTTACAACAGACACTGGATATTTTTAATGTAAATTGTTAAAAGAAAATATAATCCTTATCATAAATGTAAAAAAAACTTCTTTAAGCAATAATTACCTATCTTAAATCAGTGATAGAATATCTTATATCGTTAAAAGTCCTAATTGTACATTTACATATAGCCTTAATATGTCAATAAGTTATGTAGCAATAATTTAAACTTTTTCTTGTTTTCTGTAGGTTTATTACGCCAAATTCTTCACTATATAACAGAATGAAGTGAGAAGGGTAAATTACCTTTATTATATTTATCGTTTATGATTTATTCACAAGAACTTATTCATCGAGACTTGCATAGCAGTAATATTTTACTGGATAATTTATATAGCGCATATATTTTGCAGACTTTAAATTTGCAACATAAATAAATATAGCGCTAAATACAGAAAAACGTATATTTTATGGAATTTTACGTTTGCACTGAAATTTTGAATGGAATAAACTATGCAACTGCATGAGGTATTTTGGCATAATTATGTGGGAAATTTTATATGAGAGACCTGTATCATATAACAAGATTTTGGTCATGATTTTAAATAGAAATACATTGTAATGTTTATGCCAACAATTACTTTAATATATAAACCTAATGATGAAGTTTTGGGAAAGAGAACCACATAGCATTGTAAATATCTGTACTTTTATAATAATATTTTTAATATTTCCTTCGATTGAGCTAATTCTAATAAGATATTTTCTTCTGTAAGGTACAGATTTTAATGTTGATGTGCGACTTACTATAGTGAACTTTGGCTAAAGTGAAGATTTGGTATAGTGAAGAATTTTGAATTTCAGATACAAATCATTGTCATAAATACTTATTTACCATTACCTAATATTCTTCAAATTATTTCATTCGCATTTACTTAGCCATTGAGTATGAAGCTAATTTATTAATCAAGCAAATTATAATATGGCAAATTATGAAGACAATACTTACAAAGTATAGAGCCTCGCATGTAATCCTGACGTAACTTCAAAGATGTACAAATAGAAAATAAGGATATTGATGATTTCATAGATCTCATAGAGATTTCAACTTAGAACCTTAGAATATGAGTGGTGATTGGATAGATTCCATTTAATAGATTATCGGATGGTAAGAAAATTAGCTAAGGAGAATTCAGCACTGTATATTCAGCAATCTGATTTGAGAAATTGATAGTGATAAATATAGTTTTGTAAACATGAGAACCATTCAACATCGTTATACTTAAAGCTTTCCTTGTAGCTCCTGACATACAACGCTGTATATTTACCTTGTACTATTTATATTACATATCACTCAATTGATAATATTTGACGTAGGATATTGGTGATTTATAGAAAATTTCAACTTAGAGCCTTAGAAATATGAAGTGGCGATCTAATGGATTCCATTTAATAGATTATCGGATGTTAAGAAAATTAGAAAGGAGGATTCAGCAACCTGATTAGATGGCATATGAGAATTGATTGTGAAAATATATTTGTAAGAACATGAGAACCATCAAGTATCGTTGCACTAAAAACTTGTAGCTCCTGATATATAACGTTATAACACTATATATCTATTTGATACTATTTATATTACAATATATTCAATTTATAATATTTGACGTAGGTTCTTACTTTTCGAGAGAGGTTAAATTATTTCGTGTACCTACAGAACTAATAATAAGTTAAAAAGGGTAAGACAATAAGATTGAAATGATTATCAAATAATTAAAACAAAACAAGATTACATTAATGTATATATATATATATATATTTTTTTTTTTTTTTTTTAACAGTTAATACTCAGATAACGCTACTTCCTACTTCTTATTTTTACTAGCATTTATTAATTATTTCTTCTTCGACCTTTTTGATTCATATCTGTTTTTATTTTATTTTATATTGTTGATCAATGTTTTAAATTAATAAATTTCAAGCATTAACTAGGCGCTTGAGTTGCGTAAAGGGGGTTAGAAATGAGCATGATATATTGTATTGTACCGGTACATTACGCATGTATAACAGAAATTATTAGTTTCAGATAAATGTAAGCAGACATAAATATGATCAACGTTGTATTGACATCATATCATTTGGAATATGATACTTGTCTCATTGATTTATTCATATTTACGCCGATTTAGTTTGCAAATCGTATCTCTTATTCGAGTTGATTCAATCAATAGGTATAATATTTTTTATTACGGCTATTATAACTTAGAGATTGGAGCTGGTTTTACGGTAAAATATTTAAATCGGTTCTGAACTCTACGGTGACCAGATCAGTTCCAAATATTTGGCTCCCACTTTAAATTTGTAACTGGATTTGTATATCAATTAATAAGAAAATTGAATAAAATTTTTTTATGCCTGTTAATTTACCTATTGACTGGTTTTTTTTTTTTTTTTTTTTTTTTTTTTTTTTTTTTTTTTTTTTTTTTTTTTTTTTTTTTTTTTTTTTTTTTTTTT